ATGTGTTGGGAGGTGGGGCCTAATAGCTGATTAGGTCATAAGGGAGAATGGATTAACATTTCCATGGTAGTGGGCCTGTTATAAAAGCAAAGTCGGCCCCCTCTTGTTCTCTAACACATGCTCTTGTGCCCTTTTACCTCCCACCATGTTATGACGCAGCAAGAAGACCCTCACCAGATGTAGGTCCTCAATCTTGGACTTTCCAGCCTCCAGAACTGCAGAACTGTAAGAAAGAAATTTCTTTTCTTCTCTCTCATTCTCTCTTTTTTTTTTTTTTTTTTGAGATGGGGTCTGGCTCTATTGCCGAGGCTAGAGTGCAATGGTGCAATCTTGGCTGATGACAACCTCCACCTCCCAAGCTCAAGTCTTGTGCCTCAGCCTCCTGAGTAGCTGGGACTATATGCATACACCACCACGCCAAGCTAATTTTTGTATTTTTCCTAGAAATGGGGTTTCACCATGTTGGTCAGGCTGGTCTCAAACTCTTGGCCACAAGTGATCCACCCACCTCAGCCTCCCAAAGTGCTGGGATTACAGGCGTGAGCCACCACACCAGTCTCTCTTTTCTTTTTTCTTTTTTTTTTTTTTTTGAGACAGAGTCTTGCTCTGTCGCCCAGGCTGGAGTGCAGTGGCCAGATCTCAGCTCACTGCAAGCTCCGCCTCCCGGGTTCACACCATTCTCCTGCCTCAGCCTCCCGAGTAGCTGGGACTACAGGCGCCCGCCACCACACCCAGCTAATTTTTTGTATTTTTTTAGTAGAGATGGGGTTTCACCATGTTAGCCAGGATGGTCTCGATCTCCTGCCCTCGTGATCCACCCATCTCGGCCTCCCAAAGTGCTGGGATTACAGGCTTGAGCCACCGCTCCTGGCCTCTCTTTTCTTTATAAATTACTCAGTCCATAGTATTCTGTTGTAGCCACACAACAGACTAAGACACCCCTCACCCAGTGTTACCTCTTATTGACATCGACATTAGTATGGTACCTCTGTTGAAATTTATGGGCCAGGCTGCCGCAGCTCCACACTCTGAAGAGAGGTGGGGAAGGCACTGCAGTAGGTGAAAGACTTCAAGGCCCCAGTGAGCTGTTGGGTGCAGGAGACACAGGAGGCTGGAGGGCCATCAGGAGGCTGGGACCAGGTCCCAGCGATCCCTGAGATCGAGTCCCTCTTTCTTGCAGCAGCTGCTCTCACCAGGCCATAGAACTGGCCTCAGAAGCTCCCCTGCTGTCACCAGCCCTGCTTGCCACTCTCCTACCCCCAGCCAGACTCTTCCTCTTCTTTCCCTGCCAGGCCTGCTCACCAGCTCCCGCAGTCCTCATAAACCAGCCCCTCCTGTCCCTGTAGCTCTGCTGCTGTTCTTGGTGCATGCAGCCATCTCTTGGCAGCCTGTTAGCCCTGCAGAGCCTGCAATAAAATCTCCCTTCCAGGAGCCAGGTGTCAGGGTCAGAGGGAATAAGACACTCCTGGGGTATAGTCAGCACCTAACAGGACTTCTCTCTTTGTTCTGCTTCAGCTGGGCCTGGCCGTCCAGGCCTTCCTTTCCTGTCCAGCCTCTCCCCTCTTCGATTACTTGTAAACCTATTTGCATTTCCTTGTGCAGAGAACTGCTTGCTTCTCCTCCGGGCAAATCCCCTGAGGTGATCATCCAAGAGGATTTCTGCTATCTCCCAAGGCTCTGAGTGTCCCAGTTGTCCCCTAGGCCTACCTGAGGGTGAGGCAGCTGCCAAGGATGCCCCCTGGGTTTGAGAGGCTTGCGTTGGCCCTGCCACCTTTCCTTTGTGCTGTACAGTGCCTTTCTCCACGTCCTCACTTTTTCCTTGAAACTCAAAGCCATAACAGGCAGAGCAGATGTTACTATTCCATTTTAGAACACAGAGAGAGAGGCTCAGTGAGAGAGGCTCAGTGGGTAAACACCCTGGCCCAAGGCCCACAGATGATCAGGTCATGCTATTAGATGCTTTCACGGTTTCTTTTTTTTTTTTTTTCTTTTTTGAAGTGGAGTCTTGCTCTGTCTCCCAGGCTGGAGTGCAGTGGCACAATCTTGGCTCACTGCAAACTCCACCCCCTGGGTTCACGCCATTCCCCTGCCTCAGCCTCCCAAGTAGCTGGGACTACAGGTGACTGCCACCACACCTGGCTGATTTTTTTTTTTTTTTTTTTGTATTTTTAGTAGAGACGGGGTTTCATCATGTTAGCCAGGATGGTCTCGATCTCCTGACCTCGTGATCCGTCTGCCTCAGCCTCCCAAAGTGCTGGGATTACAGCCATGAGCCACCACGCCCGGCCTAGCTTTCATAGTTTCTTATAGCGTGCCTCCAAGTTAACAAGACATTTGCAATTTTATATTTTATTTGTATGGTTACTTAAATGCTGTCTTTCCCTCCAGACTGTAAGTTCCATGAGAACAGGGAACTTGGGGCCAGGCGCAGTGGCTTACGCCTATAATCCCAGCACTTTGGGAGGCTAAGGCAGGCAGATCACTTGAGGTCAGGATTTTGAGACTCCATCTCTATGAAAAATATAGAAATTTAGCCAGATGTAGTGGCACATGCCTGTAATCCCAGCTACTCAGGAGGCTGAGGTAGAATTGCTTGAACCCAGGAAGCGGAGGTTGCAGTGAGCTGAGATCGTGCCACTGCACTCCGGCCTGGATGACAGAGCAAGACTCTGTCTCAAAAAGAAAAAAAAAAGAGAATTTGGGACTGCTTTGTTTACTGCTATATCCCCAGTGCCTTGCCCCACTGCCTGATACATAATAGATGCTCAGTCATTATTTTTAAATTATTGAATAAATGATGAGTTATAGGCAGAACGTTCATCCATGCATTCAATAATGGATTGAGGGTCAGGCCCTTTGATGGGTCCTGGAATAAAAGAAGAATAAGATGTAGCCCCAGTCTTGAAGAAATCAGTCTTATGGGAAAGATAGACTTGTAAATAAAAAAACTACATAATCCCAGCACTTTGGGAGGCTGAGGCAGGAGGATCACGAGGTCAGGAGTTCGAGATCAGCCTGATCAACATGGTGAAACCCCGTCTCTACTAAAAATACAAAAATTAGCCCAGTGTGGTGGCATGCGCCTATACTCCCAGCTACTCAGGAGGCTAAGGCAGGAGAATCCCTTGAACCTGGGAGGCGGAGGTTGCCGTGAGCCGAAATTGTGCCACCGCACTCCAGCCTGGGCGACAGAGTGAGACTCCATCTCAAAAAAAAAAAAAAAAAAATTACAACGCAATGTGGAAAATGCCATAATCAGGATTGTCCCAAGTGATGTCAGAGAACAGAGGTTACAAACTATTGCTGGCCAGGCACAGTGGCTCATTCCTGTAATCCCAGCACTTTGGGAGGCTGAAATGGGAGGACTGCTTAAGCCCAGGAGTTCAGGACCAGCCTGGACAACATAGTGAGACCTCATCTCTACTAAAAATTAGCCAGCATGATGCACACCTGCAGTCTCAGCTACTCAGGAGGCTGAGATGGGAGGGCACCTTGATCTGAGAGCTCAAGGTTGCAGTGAGCCGTGATCACACCACTGCACTCCAGCCCGAGCAACAGCAAGACCCTGTCTCAAAAAGAAATAAATCAGTAAATAAATACACTCTTCTTGGAAGGCCAGGAGGGCTTTGGAGGGGAGAGGACTGGAAGGATGACAGGTGGTTTACTTCCTGGAGGGTTGATGGAGGACAGGGTGAGAGAAAGGCATTCCTAGACCGAGGATGAATCCTGCAGGGGCTGACATGACGGGGAAGGCCTGGGAGCAGCCTGGCACGGCAGGACTTGAAGCCGGGCTCATGGCTGTTTCCCGTCCCCACACAGGAGCTGGAGATTTCCTACGTGTGCCCCTCAGGGTCCTGGTCTGCGAGGACCACATCTGGGTCCAATCCAGGGTATTAAGACTGCTGACCTCCTGTCATTCTCCTTTGCTGATGGGCTGCCAGAAACCTCATCCACGAGGGAGTTCACATCTAAGCCAATCTGAAACAATCTTACGAGATTCCTTGAGCCCAAAGCTCGAATACAGCCTGTCTCATCTGCTCACCCTACTCTCTCATCTCGTAATTCCATCCAGCACATCATCAAGTCAGTGGGTCACAGCCGTCTGCAGACAGTTTCATGTGGTCTTCCTCGAGCTGTTTCTCTTGTTGACTCTCCTTCCCTTTGGCAAGGATTTAGCATCATCTGTCTGGCTTTCAATTCCAGATACTGTTACCTTTTTCGTTTGTTGTTGTTTAGGTTGAGGGTAAGATGTGGAAGGGCACAGGTGTGCACAAAAGGAAGGGAGTTCTCTTGGGGGCCAAGGTGGGCTGTAGGCTTCCGCAGAGGGTGGTAGGAAACAGAGTTACCAGTAAATCAGTACCAAAGGAAAGAGGCAAATGCCAACTACTGTGTGGGGAGTAGGAGGGAGTCAGAGGTAAGAACTATGGATCATTGGGACATTTAGGTTGTGTCGAACATGGAGGCCGATCCCATGTCATGGTGATGAATGTCATTGAAGGGTGGTATGGTATCAGCTCTGTGGAGAGACGTAGGCCACTTGTACTCCTACAATTAGCATAATTTTAAAAAAAAGGAACCCAGTATTTTTGACCTAAAAATCAACTTGTAGATTTACCTTTTTTTTTTTTGCTTTTTGAGACAGGGTCTTGCTCTGTTGCCCAGGTTGGAGTGCAATGGCATGATCTCAGCTCACTGCAACCTTCACCTCCTGGGTTCAAGCGATCCTCCTGCCTCAGCGTCCTGAGTAGCTGGGATTACAGGTGTGTGCCACCACCCCTGGCTAATTTTTATATTTTTACTAGACACAGGGCATCGCCATGTTAGCCAGGCTGGTCTCGAACTCCTGACCTCAAGTGATCTGCCCACCTTGGCCTCCCAAAGTGCGGAGATTATAGGTATGAGCCATCATGCCCAGCTGTAGATTTACTTTTTATGCCACCCATACACACGGAACACAAACCATTCCCCACCCACAGTGGACTCCTGGATTCCTCCCCTGCTATTTTTAAGTCAATTTTATTCTTACTTGTATCTTTACAGAAAATGGCACAGAAATCACAGGTTTCGAATACCTAGAAGTTATTACAGTTTCATATTTCAAACACCTCAATATCAAGTTTCTTTCTTCTCACTCTATGTACAATATTTACACACCAGGGGCTATAGTCTAACACTTCAAACCAACAGGGACAAAGACAAGAAGAACTGGGGTTGGGGGAGGGAAGCTCCATAATAGAATGAAGAATAAATCAACTTTTAATGTGGAATTAAAGTTGCAACACACACTCAGGCCTTTCTCTAACGAGGTATTCCCTGCAAAGGTGGGTGGGGTGGTGGATGGGTGGATGGGGTCGGGAGCCTGGCCTGGGAATCTGGATTGGGCAGGTCAACAGAGCTGTATGCTCCCATTGCTCATGCGAATGTAAAAGGCCAGGCCAGAGAGGTCACCGTACTAACAGGTCCACCCATCAGCCAGCAGAAAGAAGCCCCAGCTCCTTATTCCATCATGTTACAGTGTTTTAGTCTAGTGGACGTGCTTCCTGGCATACAATGGCATGAAAGCGTGTGTCCTGCAGCTTATCTTGGGCTTACTCCTGGCTTTCTGCCTTGCTTTCCTTTCCTTCCAGCCTTTTTCCTATCCTTCTGAACAGGTCAAAGGCTTTCTCTGAGAGGTGCTCAGCCCTAGGCCCTTAGCCCCCTGTCTATCTGGAGTGAAGGTTTCTCCAGCAGGCCTTTAATGCATATGCATAGCCCCAGGCCGACTCCAGGCTTTGCTGCTTAGTTGAGGCCAGGCCTGTGCCTTCCTAGATGTCATTTACCAGCCAGATTGGGTTGTTCAAAGCAGGGCACATGCAAACTCATAGTTCACAAGGAGCTGTGGGGGAAGGGTGCCTTCACAGCAAGTCAAGGTCACAGGCAGCATATCATGAGAGTCGAGATGCTTCAGGACTCAGGCTCAGGGGCCCGAGGACCCAGGGTAGAAGGTTTGGACTCCTGCACAGTGCAGTGAGCCACAGCATTTGTGAGGCATAGGACATGGACTCATGGCACACAGCGTACATTGCCACATGCCATGTAGGTGCTTGTGCTGGGATGAGCCAGTGGGACAGGTTGGGTGTGGAGAGGGTGGGTTCCTAAGGGTGACTATGGCAGGGCATGAGACCAAGGGTGGCTGAGGGGCCCAGGCTGAGACTTCCCAAATGTAGCCTGCCATCTAGACTCCACTGACGGGTGGGGCAGAGGCTGGGCCTGCACAGTGTCTTCACACTGCAGACGCCCAGGCCCAGCCAGGTCTGCAGGAAGGAACAGGCTGAGTTGGGAGAAGATTTTTGCTGAGGACTGGGGTGCTCAGGATGCTGGAGCTGCAGTTCCAGTCCTCCGTCTGTGTCACAGCCGTGGCAGGCAATGCACGATGCATTTGCAGCAGTGGGCTTTAGGCATGGGCAGAGCGGAATGTAGAGCTGGGAAGGAGGCTCTTCAAAGCAAGAGAACAGAGAGCGAAGGGTGGCCAAAATCAGTGAGCGCTGCAAAGGGATTGAGAGAAAAGGGGCTCGAGGGGACGTTGTGGGCAGCAAGAAGGCTTCTGAGGCTGGGATGCTGGAGAGGTCAAAACTAGATGAGGGATGTCTCAGCATGGTCCAGAGTCAGAACCCAGCGGTGCCTGCAGCCACCAGGGGTGATGGAGGACCTGTGGGGGACAGGGAGGATGGCAGAGGCCAGGCCTGGGCCTTGCCTCAGAGAGCACCTCCCAGCACCACAGGCTCCCAGGAGAGTAGAGTCTTGGGGCTCCGGCATCTGAGTGCGCCTTGACCTAAGCCATGTCCTCCAGCTGCGGTGGACTGAGCCTCTCCGCCGGCCTGTCTTCATCCATGGCCTCTTCCTCCTCTGGCTTCTCGGTACTCCGGGCCAGGCTGTCCGGCCCAGACACAGTCCCCAGCACTTTGGTGCTGTGCTCCTGAGCTTTGGCCCGGAGCGCCGCAATGCTGTTCTCCCTCAGTTCCTCCTGGGAGATGGCCGCCTGAGCGTCGGGGCCCCGCTCCTCCTGCTCCATCTTGTCAAGCTTGGGCAGGGCCTGGCGTTCCCCCTCGGGCTTCCTCCCCGACTCGGCTGCTGCCTCCAGCGACTTTTTGTGCATCCCTAAAAAGAATTGTTGGTATTCGGGTTTAGAAAAGCGCCTGGGAAAGCCATCTTGAACTGAAAACGGCAAAGATAGAGAGAGGCCAGAATTAAGGACGAGCAGAAAGCCTTACTTCCCACACCGCAGTCACACAAGTCCCAGGGCTGGGCCAGGGTCAGGGAACAGGGAGATGGGTCGCCAGTCCTGTGGAGGACCTCCCCCTGCCAAGGCCCTGGGCACCTGGGCCTCAGGTGGCCTGTTCTGTCCCTTCCAGGCCACAGCACATGCTCCCCTGTCCCTCCCCCATGGGATTCCAGATCTTAGAACCCCAAGAGAAGCTGGTGCTGTTCTCAGATACAGGCCCAGAGGGCAGGTGGGGAAGTTGGCAGGTGGGGAAGACAGCAAGTAGAGAGATTTGGGGGACAGAGTCCTTTGGGCAAAGCAGAATGGCATCCAGAGGGACATAGGGGTCCTCTCAACCCCCAAGGAAAGCTGTTTTGTTCACCATAAACCCAACTCTGGACGAGGGGAGAGGAGGGTACAGACCCCAGGGCAACAGCCACACCTTTCTCACGGGACAAAATAATCCACAGTTAGGGACTCCTTCATGATGAGAGTTCTTGGCACCCAGTGCAAGTGACAGATACCAGGCCCCAGGCCCACCGTGCTCTGAGTCCCCCAAAGTAGAACAAGAGGTTTGCTTCGAAGAGCTTCTCTCCTGCTAGGCTGCTGTGGCCCAAGTCCCCCTGCCTCAAGACTCTGTCCCCTTCTCCAAGGAGCCCGCTCTCCTCACCGCAGGGGCAGGGCCCCAAGGAGGGTGCGGGCTCTTACCCAGTAGCCACGGGGCACAGGAGTCCATGATGCCATCCTTGGCAGACTTGAGGATGGACTCGGGCAGGGGGATGGAGTGCCGCACCATGGCCCCGTAGAGCCCGTACTCCGCCATGACACTGCTCCGGCCCCAGCACTTCTCCCGCTTCCTCCACTTGGCTCTGCGGTTCTGGAACCAGACCTGCAGGTGCACAGAACGGGTCAGAGGCTTGTTCTAAGTGCTGGGCCCAAGGCCCTTACCCCTTGTAGGCCTGGAGTGAAGGTTTCTCCAGCAGGGCGTCCTTAACCTAAGCTCGCCCACTCCCTGGTGCCCCCTGGGTTCCTCCAGGCTCAGAGAGTATTCAGAAGGAGGACATCAGTCTTATAAGAATACTATGGGTAGTTCTAGGGAGATGGGGTGTGGATGCCTCCCGGACAGAGTCTTACAGGTGCACAGGACCCAGTGTCGTCGGCTGTTTGCAGATGAGAAGACTGCTCAGCCAGTGATGGTTCTCTTGCATGTGTTCACACCTCCAGCATATAAATCTTTTTTTCTGATTTGCAGAGGGACAAATTCCTCTCCCAGCACTGGACTAGCAGTGTCTCTGGCTCAGGGTTTCCTCTCTGCCAGAAGCCCAGAGCCAGAACCATCCAGGAGGGCTGCGGGTGAGTGGGGGATCAGGGACAAAGGGCAGGGGACAGTCTTAGGGGCACTTCACCCAGGTATCAGGGAGGCTGGGAAGTCAGGGAGGGAGACTCCCCTGGGAGGCCTGGGTCAGCCTCCCTCCTCTGCCCTGTCCCAGCTAAGCTCTGCCAAGCCACATGTGCCCTCCAGGTACCTGCTCCCCACAGCTCCGGGCCTAACTCTGAATGGTATCTGGGGGCGATGGGCCAGGGATGAAGACATTCTCCAGGGTTGAGGAGCAAATGGGAGGAGGGATCTGGGATGGAGTGGGGGCGGAGGAAGCACTAGCGAATGTGTCTCTGGCCCCAAAGCTGATTGGTGCAGGGTCTGAATGACAGTGGGGTACCCTGGGGTGTCTGCAGCACTCTAGCCCATTCTGGGAAGAGATCCCAGAATCCCTGCCAGGTTTAGGGAGGGAAGATTTCTTGGTCCCCAAAGAAGCTTTCCGGAGATTTCCCGCAGCTGGCAGAGCCAAGAGCCCCTTGCATTGTCCGCCAAGGAGGTCCAGGCTCTTAAGGAACTGGTGGGCCCCAAGCCTGGCCGGTCCCTTCTCGCCCCTCAAAGCCCGTAAAGGCTCTGACCCCGGAGACAGCGAGTCGCCCCAAGGAAGTGGAGGGAGTGGGGCGGCGAGGGGGAGGACCGAGGTGGGCTCGGGAAATCTGTTCATTTCCTCCCGATTTCCTTGCCTGGGTCTGGGCCGGCCCCGCCCTTCCCTCCGGGCCCCCTCCCCCGCGGCCGAGGTATCAGCTTTTAATGAAAAATTGCTCCAGCTCTATTCAGGAGGCGGCAAAAGAAGAGTCAGCCCCAGGGGCAGCCCTGGGCTGATTGAAAAATAAGTTAATTTCAGTTTGAATCGATGGGCCTCAGGCACTGAAATATCACGGGAAATTAAAGCGGCTGCTCTCCTGGGAGCCGCGGCATTGACCCGCACTAATTAATGCTGGAGAGGCAGCGCTCGCCTCGCCGCGAGCGCCCCCGCTCCCCCGGGGACCCCCAACTCTTCTCATTTAACTAATTAGACGGGGAAAATTGGGTGTTAATTTGTTTAGGATTTTCCCCCTTCCCCCCCGACAGCCCCTCGCGGTCCCCGCCCCGCGCGGCGCGGAAATGCATGCGGGCTCGGCGGCAGATGGCTGCCCGGGTCACGCTGCAATCTCCTCCGACTTGATTGCTTGATTAGGTCGTTAGCACATTTAAAAAAAAAATTGCTTGCCGTCTGGCGCTGGCGTGATGAGTGGGACGCGCGGCAGCGCCTGGGTAATTTATCTTTTTATACGGCAAAGAATTTGATTTCAATCTGCAGATATATGGGGCGCCTTTGACACCTGTTTAACATCGCGCCGCTGACAGCTTAACCCTTCGCTGCCTGGGGAGCCCGAGCTGGGGCCGGCGGGGCTCGGGGATCAGCGCGCTCCTGCGGTTCCCGCCATCGCCGCCAGGTGGCGGAGTGAGCGCCGGCGGCCCGGAGTCTGTGGCGGAGCGAGGCCGGCCACCCCCGGCAGGGGGCGCTGCGGCCCGCCCGCCTCGCATCCCCCACGGAGGTCACAGAACACTGTCTGCCCTGGGCACGCGCACCTTTAAGTTGACCCAAACGCGTGCCCTCTGGCCTTTCTTCATTTGTAAATAACTGGGAGCCTCTAAACATGGGAGCGACACGGCCTTAGATGCCCCCGGCCTCTCCCACCCCGAGTGGCGCCGTCCCTATTCGGGCAGCACTTTTGCTGCCACCGGGTTTGGCACCTGCAGTTCCCGCGCAGAACTGGGGGACTGGGAAGCGCAGGTGCAAGGCCTCTGCCTGCTCCAGACCTGACCGCCCTGGGAGACCACCGCCAAGGAAAAGGTTTGTGTAATTCGAAGGCCGCTAGATGGCTGTCCTCCGTGCCCTGAAGGGAGAGGGGCGCAATGCCAGCTGGGCTAACTTGGGCCTGCGTCCCGGCCTGGCTCCATGCCGAGTGTAGATCTCCCCAGTGCTGCGGGCCTGTGCTGCAGGATGTGTGCCCGACCAGCTGTCCTACCCGGGGCCTGCGGTTTGTCTGAGGCCTCAATCCTGCCCCATCACCCTCCCCTTAGCATACCTGCTTGCTGCAAGCTGCTTTCTCCCACAGAGGAAAAATCTGAAAGGACTAATCCACATATAAGTATGATTCCCGGCCTGGCGCAGTGGCTCACGCCTGTAATCCCAGCACTTTGGAAGGCCGAGGCAGGTGGATCACCTGAAGTCAGGAGTTCGAGACCAGCCTGGCCAACATGGCGAAACCCCATCTCTACTAAAGATACAAAAATTAGCCGGGCATGGTGGCGCACACCTGTAATCCCAGCTACTCAGGAGGCTAAAGCGGGAGAATCGCTTGAACCCGGGAGATGGAGGTTGCAGTGAGCCGAGATCGTACCACTGCACTCCAGCCTGGGCAAGAGAGCGAGACTCTGTCTCAAAAAAAAAAAAAAAAAGTATGACTCCCGGTTTTATCCACCTCTCAGAGAAGACAGCAAAGAATGAATCCCCTGGTGATGGAATTCCAGACACCAAGTGTGACCACAGAGGACTAGAGAGGTTTGGTTCATGAATATAAGAAGCCACCTACTTCCTGGTCGGGAGACAGTCTGTCCTGCTTGAATACAGTGCATTATATTAGGCTGGTGCAAAAAGTCATTGCGGTTTTTCCCATTGAAAGTAATTACTTTCTTTTTTTTTTTTTTTGAGACAGAGTCTCGCTCTGTCACCCAGGCTGGAGTGCAGTGGTGTGATCTCGGCTCACTGCAGTCTCCACCTCCCGGGTTCAAACAATTCTCCTGTCTCAGCCTCCAGAGTAGCTGGGACTACAGATGCCTGCCACCACTCCCGGCTAATTTTTGTATTTTTAGTATGGACAGGGTTTCACGTTTTTGGTCAGGGTGGTCTCGAACTCCTGACCTCAGGTGATCCACCCACCTCGGCCTCCCAAAGTGTTGGGATTACAGGTGTGAGCCACTGTGCTTGGCCGAAAGTAATTACTTTCAATGGTAAAAACCGCAATGACTTTTGCACCAACCTAATAAAACAAGGCCACAACCCCTCAACTGGTATCTGTACAACCAGACTGGAGAATGTTTTGGATTTAAGAAAAAAGATGTGATGCATAAACCACAGTAACATAATGTCCTGCAGCAGCAGCACCTCATGATCAAACCCATCAGCTTCCATTTCTCAGCAAAGCATTTATGTACATGTTCACACTAAGAACAATAAATAAATTCCGTAAGGTCTGGTCCGGTTTTTGCCATCACTGAGTTTTGATGCCAAATTTATAAAAGATTGTTCTGTTTTCAGTGCAATTTGGACTTAGGGATTCTGGAGAAGGCATTGTGGAATATAAAAAAACAGAGATGCCCCCACCCACCCAGTGTGGATACCTGGCAAGGTGCACTGCCCTGGCTTCCCCAGGAGTTCCACAAATACCCATGCTTGAGATGGGGCAGGTTCTCAGATGGAAACAGCATTTTTAGGATACTAAAGAAGGGGGTGCAGACTCGGGATTCAGATCATCTCTGGGGCCTATAAACAGAACCGTTTTCCTGGGTCTCCTGATTTGGGCAAATGAATATCTGGCTGATCCGTAGATCAGACTTTGCCCACAGACACTCTCCCAGGGGAGCCGGTGCCAGCTGGTCGCTCAAACCAGAAGTCATCCAGACCCTCACTTATGGGCTCCTGGAATACCTAGCTCTCTGTGATGACCAGATGCTGCTCCAATTTATGGAGGAAACCTGGACGGCCAAAACAATTTCTTTCTAAGACAGTTAGTTGGCAAGGATGCTGTGGCAATGGTGCCTTGGAGGGAAGTGAACAAGGAATTAGAATTAACCCTAACCGCTCTGTATATGTCCCTTTCTATTCCCTGCCTGGAAGCCACCAGCCTGTATATAGAACTGAAATATTTACAAGAAGCATTGAGGACAGCCAGTCCTGACCTGGAATTCCCCAGCTCTGAAAAATTGCTGTGTGACTTTGGGCAAGTTACTTGACTTCTCTCAGTCTCAGTCTCCAAATGAAAGATAAGAATATCCACTTTTCAGGGTTGTTTGGAGGATTACATGAAATAAGTGAGTGCCTAAAATCAGTGCTTGTCATACAGAAGGTGTTCAATAAGTGTCAGTTTTTGGTAGAGGCACTGAAAACAAATGGAAGCCTGCCCGGAAGGCAAGTTAATCTATGGCATTACCTGCCCCTCTGGCCTCCTTCACATGCCCTTCAAGGCTGGACTGACAAATAATAATAACAACAATCCAGGAGGAGGGGAAGACAGATCCAACCTTTGGCTGTATATTCAATACAGATAGCCTCTAGTTCCCCCTTAGGCATTTGGAGAGCTAAACACCAGTGTCCTTGAAACTCTTCTCACATTTCTTTTTTTTTCTTTCTTTTTTTTTTTTTTAATTTGAGACAGAGTCTCGTTCTGTCGCCCAGGCTGGAGTATACTGGCATCATCTCGGCTCACTGCAACCTCCGCCTCCTGGGTTCAAGTGATTCTCCTGCCTCA